CCCACCCCCGTCTCCCCCCCGCCCCCGCGCAAGCCTCCCGTCGCCCCACCCGATCTCCTCGACAGTCCCAACGTCGCCGTCGCTTTCTCGCCCATCCTCCCGTCTCCCAAGCCGTCCCCCTCCGCGCCGTCCCTCTCGCCCTCGCCCTCGCCCTCGCCGCCCAACCTCGGCAGGCGCACCTCTCTCATCGACCTCAAGGACTGGGTGCTCGACGACGGCCCCAGCCCCTTGCCTCCCACCCGCCAGAAGCGTCTCGTGAACACGGACGGCAAGCCCGTCCTCCCGATCAGCATCACCCCTCGCCCCTCCCATCGCCACACGTCCGACTCCGTTGTCTCGACCACCCCGCTCATCAGTCTCGACCTGTCTCCGTTCAATGCATCCAGTTCCCGCCCAGTTCCCCCGCTTCCTCCCCGCAAACCCTCGTACACCTCTCTCAAGTCTGTTTCCACTACCCCGTCCACCTCCTCTTCCGTCCCCCGCAGCCCCATCGTCCCTCCTGCCACTCTACCCCCTAGAAAGCCCCCCTCTCGCGATACGCTTTCAGCAGATCACACCTATCCTCCCCCGATCGCCCCCGGTCTGTCGACGCCCTCCCGCACCAACCAGGGCCATGCGCCTGCGTCCTCCATCTCTTCCTTCCACTCTGTCTCTCTCTCATCTGATGGCGGCAACGAGCCCTCCTCACCCACGTCCCGCCGAGCCACCTCGTCTCCAAGCAGCCCCACCCGCGAAGTAGACTCCGTCAGCCTTGCCGAGTCTTTCGACAACGTCTCCATTTCGTCGGCCATTAGTCCTGCATTTTCCTCGCCCGCCCATGACTGGGACGCATACATGTCTTCAAAACGGCCTTCCGAGCCCCCGAAGCTCCCACAGCGTCCCCAGCCGGGCTCCAAACCATCGCTTCTGCAACCACACGCGTCCTCGTCTCTTTCACACAACCAAGCGCCGTCACCTCGTCCTCCCCCTGTACGTAAGCCCGCCCCGCCGCCACCACGCCCACGCGCACCTCCTTCGCGTCCATCATCGACCTCGACAACATCCACGACCGCATCCTCCTTGTCTGATCATGCGTCCATCCTTAGTGCCTCGACCTCGACCTCACAGTCGCACTCCTACGCAACGCTTAAACCCAGCTCCGTGGTCCCTTTGGGCTTAGGCTCCAAACCCGACCAGCTCGCACGCCCCACGCCCATCCCACCGACCGCACGTCGGCGGTACGAGACGCTCTTCGAACGCAACATTCGCGCGCAGCGAGCCTCGGTGTCTAAGGCGCAGGCGAAGCCGTCCCCGCAGCCAAGCGGGCGCATGCGCAAGGCCGCGGGCTGGCGCGGCTTGTCGGTCGACTTGCTCACGAGCCCGGAGCTGCTCACAATCGAGGCAGAAATCGACGTAGATCCGGTTGAGGTGAGCCCGGAGGAGCGCCTTGGTGGCGAGACAGTACGCAGGATTTGGACGCTCTCGCGCTTGGGGAGAGGGGCGTTGTGTGCGATTTGGTGAGTGCTCTCTGCCGCGCTAGCTTTGTGCGCAAGATGTTTATGATGTCCGTCCATAGGGCCGCTTGCGATCCCGCCGGTACGGGCTCTCTCGATCGCGAAGGATTTGTGAAGGGCATGTGGCAGATCGACGAGGAGCTGCATCGAGCACAAATACAAGGAGCTCGATATAAGCTCGTGTCGGGCCGACGTGCAGCGAGTACTCGTAGTCAGAGTAAAGTTAGGGTTGGAAAACCAATTCTACGATGAGGATAATTCGGGTGTGTCTGGTGGCTCTGTTTTGATCACTTTTGTGCTGGAATAGACATTTCGCTCTGCGCGGACATCGTGGACTGAGCTAGCTGGCTCGTGTAGCATTTTCATCTTAATGATTTGGCTGCAATGTACATATATAAATGCATATATACCCTCTTCACACGCATCAGTTTGCAATGCATAATGCATACATTTGCAATGGGTCAAATGAAGATTGACATAGCACAACATATAATCCATGTTACACCCCGCTCCATACTATCACACAGGCAATCTAACTTGCAGGGCAAGTAAACAGTAAATCAGATCGCCCTTGGCGGACCCCTTCCCCGCCCTTTCACGTTCGCGCCCGTGTCATAGATCTGTGCCAACAAGCCGAGCACTCCGCCATCCTCTAGATCGTCATCCTCTTCTGCCTGTGTTTGGCTCTGTGTCACCGGTGGGTTGGGCCGGCGTCCGTCTACATACGACTCGCCAAGCATGCTGCCCACACCGCCGTCCAGCGCCAGCTCTTCCTCCGGGATCACATCCGTCGACGGCTGTTTCGGCGCAGCGGGCATCATGCTGCCCTGTGAGTCCCCTAGCACTGCCGTCTGCGCCATCTCTGGGCCCACTGCAGACTGGAAGATCGTCGATGCGCCCGTCAGTCCACGCGTGCTCTGCATGAGGGTACTCCCCCGTCTGCGCACGCTCTGGCTGGCGCTCTGGCTCTGCCGGAGCGCGCGGTCGTACTCGCGCGCTCTGTCCGCCGGGTCGAGATGGACGGTGGCGTCCAGATTGCTCTCCTGCCCGAATGCTGGCCGTGACCCGGAGTCAGAGGGCTGTCGCAGTAGACGCCGCCGGCCGAGACCGATGGGATGCGCCGCGCTGAAGTCGGCGATACGGCTTAGGTAGAGAGAGCCACCCGGGTCAGTAGGCATCCATTCCGGATTGGCGGCCTGCAGAAGATCAGGATCATTGGTGAGAAGACGTTGACCTAGACACTGCACGAATACATCATCAAAACTCACCTTGAAGTTTAGGAAGCTCTTCTCCATCTTCCCCTCTTTTGACACAAACCTCTCGTCCTGTACGTTGGTAGGCGCGCCAAACTGAATGCGTGCGTGTCTAGTGTGAGCAAAATTGGAGACTTCTTTGTAACGTAAGCTTACCTTGACGTTGCCGTGCCGTTGGAAGTCGAAAACCGCAAAGCTACAAACATAACCCAAGCCGTCCACATGAACCGTAAATTCCCGGAAGAAATCGATCAGTGCAGGTGCACAAGTCGGGAGCGAGTACCATAACACGAATGGTGTCAAAATCACGGAAAGTAGTTCTTGTGCGAAGATCATGACCTTCATATTGAATAGCTCCCCAAACTCTGCGTGCACCTGTCACAATGAATCTGTCAGTACGAGTGCATTATGACTATATAGTGAATCCACCTTCTTAGAGTGCAACTGGTCCTTCCACTCATCCGGTAAGTAGTGCGTATATTGGACGACCTCCATCATGAGTAGTTCAGGATCAAAAACTCGGTGCTCCTCAGGGATCATACCCCGTGCGACAGCCAAAATTGAACCAAATACTGTAATATAGAATAAGACTGTGCGGTGAGGGGTAATCTCGAAATAAAGGAATTGATCTGGATCGACCACAGTCGCAAGCAACAGCACGGCGGCGAATGAGCCCGCAATGAACGAAACGAATCTGTGGTAACAGTCAGTCTCATATCCATTTTGATAAAACCTCATTCCAACAGACCGATTGATGAGTGTCAACTTCTCGTTCGGGAATTGCCCAATGTACATGCTCGCTGTCACGTAAGATTCACTAAGACGCCGTTTGAAAAGATGAGGCAGCTCGTTGAACTCGCGAAACTTCCACTGAGCGAAAGGTGTATACCGTCGTCCGCCAATATTTGATGGATTCTTGTGGTACTCCTGAAACGCAAGTGCATGTGGATGTTGATGGAAAAATTGAGGAAATGAAGAAAAGTACGGACCTCAAAATATCGGAAGAATGAGTACATGACTAAGTACAGCACAATGAACGGGACGAAAATTGCATTCAAGATACCCATGAATATGAGGCGACGGCGCAGCCTGGAAAAATTATCTTGAGCAAACATGCCGAACGCCGGCAGAACGGCAACAAACCCTTCAATGAGTACGGCCCGATTCTTGGATTTCAAGAACACCTTTCTCACTCGGCCGCTAGAGTCAAACAGATACTCCATCAAACAAAACCTCAAATTCCACTCCAGTGCCCTTGTGAGCACTCGGCCTTTCCCGTCCTCCTTCGTACCGACGAAGCGCTTGACAACCGGCGGGAGAGGCACTCGTAGATCCAAAAGTTCCTTGTTGAAGAGAGCGATGAGGTAATTCTCTTGTCGCATGATACGATTGGCGATATCATGAGCATCTAACTTGGCAGTTACAGATTGGCCAGCTCCTGTCGACGAAAGCGCGGTGAGCGGATTATCCTCCCGAATAGCGCCGATGCGGCGCACTACTTCCGGCCAGGAAATCGTTTGTATGTCCGCCTATAGACTGATTAGACGAATTTTCAAGACGATCATAATTATACTCACATCCGGAATATGGAGGAGGTGGGTATAAAAGCGATACATGTCTACCAATCGCAGGATACCCAGAACATACGTGACAATCTGCCATATGAAGAAGGCAGAGAACAGTATGAAGAACAGGAAGGTAAATCCCGAAAATCTGATGCCAGTCAGATGAGTGAAGCAGCTACCGAATACAAAACAACGCACCTCGAGACACAGCGGTCGACAATAGCCTCACCTAACCGAGTGCTTTTACCATGTCCAATACGGGAATAATCTACGCATCCCAACAAGAAAGTAGAGAAGCTAATGACGAACCCCACTGTGCTACGCATGTGCATTAGCGAATCAATCATAAATTCTTCGCATCAAGCAAAGCTCACTGACAGAAGATTCAGTCCGCGAGATAAGGCAATGCTATAGATGCCTTTCCCTTCATAGTAATAATAAACCTCCTGAAGAAACGCGTCAAGATTGTAGACATTGACCCAATTCCACAGGGCACGCTCGTGGGCATCAAGACCGCGCATCTGCTTCGATTGATATTCATACAAAGGCTGAGTACTCTGTGGCTCCTCGATGTCCAGTTCCGATGGTCTTGGAGGTATCGACACGGGAGTCCCCTTCGAGTTTATGGGTAGTATGGGCCGTGCATGCTTCCGAGAGCCTGATGCAGAATATAGTGGCTGTCTTCTACTGCTTCTCTCCTTGCTCTTTGGGATCACAGTAGGGGACGTAGGCAAGCGTTTGTTGGGAGACACGGCCTCAATCATCAAATTCTCTGGGACTTCGTCGTCAGACGACTCTTCGTGTTTCGGGTCAGCCTGCCGGATGTTCGGTCTTAGTACGTTCATCTCGGAAGCATCGCCACCCCACGAAACTCGCCGCTTTCCATGCGACTTTGACTTCACAGGATTGTGGAACATTGAACTCCGGCTCGCATGGCCTGCCTCGACATCGTCGTCTACGCGTTGGTTCTCGTCTACCTCCTCTTCCTCTTCCTCCAGGACAGACTGGCTGGCTTGGACGTATCCCTGATACGTCCGTCCCATAGGGTTTAGCATATGAAGAAACGGTCGCGAGCTGCTCCCCCCAGGAAATATAGACTGCGAGCCGTGAAGTGACCGAGAGGAAGAAAGCGGTCGCGAGCTTGAGGAGGTTGGGGGTGGTGAGTTTGACATTGCTTCCCACAAGCTGTATTAAGCAGATACTGCCCCTCAACGCAGCATACCAAAGTCTTAGGGGAACAGAGGAGACGAAGAAAGTCTATCTCAGCTGTGCCACTCCGGGTCCGCTGGGTCGAAGACGTAATGCTAAGTCCGAAGGGGGTACCGATAACCTAAAAATGGTAATTCGATGTTCGATTTTGGCCAAAATCATGTTCATAATGCGCCCCAATCGTGCAAGCTGTAGCGGTGCAGACGTGCAAGCTCTGGCCTGAGCGCGAACATTCGCAGGATGCCTGTGACTGCTTCTTGGAGTCGAACATTGTTGCAACAATATGGACATACCAAACTAGCTCGCCTCCGTTTGCGTGGCTCTCGTTCGCTTTCGACGGCTGTCACGGATCCTGCTATTCGACAGTTCATCTGTAGACTTGGGGAACATCAGCCCTGCTATGGCGTAGCGTCTTCTAGCATTCGCATTATGAGTCAACCCCAAGATTTCTACCAATGTTTGCTGGTATGTCTTGCTCAACTATTGAACGTTTGACCTGCATCGACCATCCAACTTGTCAGAACATGATTCAGAGAGCGCGGCAGAGGATATTCATATCTTCCCTATATATCGGATCCGAAGACTTTGAGCTTGTATGTGCAAGATATCACTTCATACTCGTGCCAATCTCATTGTAGACCGTTAGATCGACACGCTTCGGGCATCTCTTCAGGCTAATCCTTTGTTGCGTGTACAGATGCACCTTGACTATAATCGCTGTACGCGTCCTGAACCCTTATCGACTGCTAATCTACTTGTACCACTTCTAAAAGAATTCCCTGACCGCGTCCGCGTCTGGCTTTTCCGCAGTCCCAAACTCAAGGGTTTATTGGCCAAACTTATGCCCCCTCGCTTCAACGAAGGTTGGGGTGGTACATGGCATCCGAAGATTTATGGTGCTGATGATGAACTGCTAATATCTGGGTAAGGAGGTACGTCCCCCGAATTCGGTTGCACTGCAAGTTTGACATATCTTTAGTGCCAACCTAAATACGTCCTATTTCACGAACCGACAGGATCGTTATATACATTTTACCGATCAAGCTCCTTTGGCGCAATACTGCCTCTCTTTTCTCGATCAAGCTGCTACATTTTCATACTCGCTGCTACCTTCTTCGTCTACATCTGGTGACTACGTGCTTGATTGGCCGGATCAGCGTACACATCCGCACCATTTCGAATCAAAAGCGCAAGCTGCTCTGACCGCGTTTCAAGATAGATCTCGAAAATCAAGCATCAGCAAAGTGACCTCAGTCATGAGTGGTGTCCAACAGGGCGAGAAATCCAAAGCGGACACCCTTGTGTTTCCTATAATACAGGCGGGGCAATTCAGTGTGCGGGAGGAAGAGCGGTGCCTCAGTCTTCTCTTTCGCCAAGTCTCCGGGACCGAATCACAGACTCCAGGAAACACTGGCCATATGATAGATCTGACTAGCGGCTATTTTGGACTGTACAAACCGTACCAGGACCTCATTATAGGTTCTCAATTGGCATGCCGTGTACTGGCTGCCAGTCCTAAGGTCAGTTGTGGTTGAATTTTTGTCCTGGTTGATTCACAGTAGGAATGCATGATAGGCGAACGGCTTTTATGGCTCTAGAGGAGTTTCGGGGAGGGTACCCGAGGGATATACTGTACTTGAACGGCAGTTTATGAGGGCTGTAAATACTGCAAAACGTGATTGGACACATGACCAGCACACCGGTGAACACTCAGGAGTGCAGTTAAATGAGTGGGAGAGAGACGGTTGGACCTATCATGCCAAGGGTATTTACATTTCTATTATGAGAGATTGGACTCATGCTGACACACCGTTGCAGGCATCTGGCTGCGTCCAACGCCGTCTGCAGACCCCTCAGTGACGCTATTCGGATCAACTAACCTCAATTCAAGATCGGCGAATTTGGACACTGAACTCTCCTTCCTCCTCGTGACGAACGCTTCTGCCTTGCGCTCTCGTCTAGCAGAGGAATTGAATGACCTTCGCGCTTATGCACACCCATGGAAAGGTGCGGAGCGCAAGGTGCGACTAGGATCCTGGATTCTAGCGAGAGCACTGCAAGACCGTTTATAGCATCCTCGGGCTCGGATGTTGAAGGGACCGACTACGCGTGCGTTTCTGGCTATACTCTAGCATATCTCGTAATATCAGTATGACAACTCCCTTCGTCAAACAACCTCAATTGTGGGTTCTAGTAAAACTCATATGTGTGCACAAGGACCACCTAGTTACGTTCATCTATGGCTTATGGCTGATGAATCTGGGGCTCCCTCAAGCACTTCATTAGTATTGACTGTCGCCGTCTTGCGTGCCCCTCCTTCCGCCACCTTCTTGGCCTTTGATGGCTTTCCTGATATTCCACTGACGGCCTGATCAATATATGCGAACTTGCGAGAGTCAAGTGTGAATGTTACTGGTCCCTAATACGAGCTTAGTTCATATACGAACGAGACGCCGTATGTCCATACATCGTTAGTCAGGCTGACATTCATCATCGCGCCAAATTGACCATCTGGGGATGGTATAAGCGTGACACTTATAAAAGATAGGCATGACAGTACCTTTAATTAGCTCTGGCTGATAAAGACTGGTCATTCTTTCAAGGAAGGCACTATAGAGTTGTCGACCTGGCTCTGTGCCCTGGATAAATACATCAGCATGTCAAAATCGTAGTCAATAGTAACAAAAACACCATTGCGTGATGAAAATCAGGCTTATTCCCCTTACTCGTGTTGGCCAGGAGAGTAAATTGAGATACACAAAGTACCTCGCCGTTGATATCCCTCACACTTCTCTTCCACATCGAGCCTGAGTCATCTGAGAACACCCTCAGGGACAGTCTAGAATGTGTCGTAGGCATTGTCAGGTTTTGGAGATGTACTCAGAGTCTCAGAAGAACTTCAGTGCGGCGAACACACATTTTGCTGCATATTGTCTCAACATCGGTAGAGGTGTCATCTATTCTGTGCAGAGAGTAAGTCAGATAATCCATGCGAAAATGTGATTTAGACCTTTCCCGATGCCTACTAGGACCATAAGTCCTCGGGCGATTGAAGACACGACCTCATTGTCAACTGGCGAAGCAAACCCTCAAGCTCATCAATGAAAAGATCCGGCAGAAGACATAGTAGTTTGAAGATATACCAGTCACCGAGGCAGTGCTGACTCGCTGCACTACTGCACGCATGCCTTGTGGTGGACGAAAGCCTGCACTGTGCAGCTGATTGTGACAGTACCTGCTCACTGGATAACATCATCTGCTTGGATGGCGGGAGATCTCGATCTCGCGTCGAGCGCCTTCAGCCACAATTTCTTTGCATCCAACCATCTCGGTGCTGCCAGGGACGCCTTTCATCGACGCATAATGGAATCTGTCGTACTTGAAACAAGCATGGGCGATATACAACTTGAACTTTACTGGGACCATGCTCCCAAAGTATGTGATTCCAACGGACACAGCCCTTAACGAGACTCAACCTCTCGTTCTTTGAGTATACAGACATGCAAGAACTTTTCTGAGCTCGCAAAGCGTGGATATTACAACGGGGTTATATTTCATCGCATTATCGCTGTAAGTGTGGTGTTTTGCCTTTGGATAGCTCTCAATTTGAACGTTCAAATTAGGACTTCATGGTGCAAGGTGGAGATCCGACGGGCACAGGTAGAGGAGGAACGAGCATTTATGGGCAGAAATTGTACGTTCCATCGTTAAAATGGTCACTTATCACTCAATCTGTGATTAGTCAGGACGAGATCCACCCAGAGCTGCGATTCACCGGCGCAGGAATCCTAGCGATGGCAAACTCGGGCCCAAATACAAATGGTGAATGCCAGTCTCTCGCAAAGTCACTACCACGGCTAACATAATATGTAATACGACGCGTCAGGTTCGCAATTCTTCCTTACACTAGCACCAACGCCATATTTGGACAACAAGCACACCATCTTTGGGCGAGTCAGCTCCGGGATGCGTGTTCTCCAGCGGCTTGGTTCGGTTGCTACTGATGCTCAGGACAGGTAAGTCAGAATCATAGTTGGCCATAGACGGTATTATTAACCTCTGTTGAACCGAAGACCCCGGGAAGACGTGAAGATTCACAAGGCTCGTGTTGTGTAATCACGCAAGCTGTCGTCTCAATCACCTATTCACTCGTTCGAATTCTCGAATCCTATAACATGTCATGAAGAACGCACGACTCTTGTGTAGAACTGGAAGGCTATGCGAAGGCTTTCTTCAAATGTGTCGACCAGTAAATCATGACGGAAGAGTATATGGACATTCATGCTGTTGGCATGGTCTACTGATAACGTGGGCCAGTGGAAGCAACATTCTCCTATTTGCACTTTTCTTCCTTCTCCACGAAAGTGACGTCTACCCAGCACGGCAGCCGTGTCGAGTGACAATTTGGCGATTTACATGTCTCTGAGAAGTGACCCATGGATGTCGTAACTGACCAGATCTAGCTGATATCTTACGTGTCAATGTCCAACATTCAACCCTGGTAACTATGAACTTCAGACGGCACACAATTGCACTCGCTATATTTCGTCTGAATGGGGTAAGTTATGATGTTCCAGGCCACAACCTTCATATGTATATCCTCCAACATCCGCCCCTCAATCTATCGGCGCAGGATCGATACATTACATGTTGATTTTCCGGGTTCAAATTTAGTGTGCATATGCGGAAGTAGGAGGTAGTACGCCGGTAATTCGATTTTCATGCTGATTTCTACTAGCTCTCGGAGTTGCATATATTTCAATTACTGCAGCTTTGATTCACTATTTTCTCCAAAGTGTTTCCAGTCACTTAATTCAAAGCCCTCGGCTCGTGAGCCATTTGGGTCGTTGTGATTGCCTTTCATACTGATACACCTTTGTTCACGAGCTGGCCATACTGCATTTGATCTTTTGTTCCTACGGGAAAGGGTGTCATCAATCATCCAGGCGGAGTGCAGGAGATATTCCAGTGAATCGAGCTTCTCCAGAACTAAATGCATTTTTCGGTCCAACTATATGCGGCTTGGATACTACATATACCTTAGAGACCACGATGTAGTAAATCCCTTACCGCGGAGATCCACTTCTGTCTCCTCGCCCTTTTCGGACCAGTTGTGCCTCAAATCTGTATCTGTAGGAATGGACCTGGTTCTATTCTCTGAGCAAGCCTGTTCTACGTTTATCGATCTTGTCGGCCTATAATTCGTTACATTTGTCGTGACCGTCTGGAATTAAACACCGCGATCGTCGCTGGGATAATGGATTCAACACCCTAATGTTCCGAAATATTAGGTTCCAATACATCGCTGATAATGAATTTCCTCATGCACTCTGACTCCCGTAGTCCCATATGTCAAGATAAGTCGCGCTGTCTTTATTGGTCGCTGCGGCACACCACTGGCCCTCGAACACTGCCTGCGATACATCCATGGCACCTTGGAGCAGCCCACGAATACCTGCGCCAGTACGAATGTCCCACATCCACAAGGCCCCTTTGCTCCCGCTGAGTATCTTCTCTTCGTCGTGGTGGAGGCAAACCACCGTAGTGCCGGGACCACCGGTCGGAAGGATGTGCAAGAGCTCACCGGTGTCCGGGTTCCACACACGCAGCGTGGCGTCGGCTGACGCGGAGACGAGATACGAGGGAGAAACGCGGAGAAGGCCTACAACGCTTGTGTGCCCTGTCAGGGTATACTTGCATTGACCTCTCAGCAGATCCCATACACGGACAGTACAGTCCATGGATCCTGAATACGCAATGTTGCGTTCCCCGTCGAGAGCGATGCTAAAAACTGATCGGCTAGTCAGAAGTGAGTGTTATCTCAACAGTACGAAGGTACTTGCCTTTGTCTTTGTGCATAGCAAAAATATACTTACACCCCCCAGTGATTATGTCCCAAGATCGTACCGTACAATCATAGCTGCCGGATACAAGTGTACGGCCGTGCACTGCATGGTCGCGAATGGCTTGTGTGTGGCCTCTCAAACGCCGTTGATGATGCGGATTGTTTTCAGGAGTCACCTATCAAAGTGAGTAATTTTTTGTAGATGTATAAATCAGAATTAGCAGGAAACGTACCTCTGACGGGTCACCCTCCTCCGTACAGCAATTACCGTCGCTTTCGCCTTTCTTGGGCAAAGACCACACCCTCAGGTTGTGGTCTCTGCTACCACTAACTATAAGCGGACGTTTGGGCCACAGTTCCCGGACAGTCTCCCCCGACTTATCCTTGACATCAACCCACATTGGTTGAGCAATTCGCAATGCTCGGACCGTGCCTTTATGTCCGCCAAAGACATGGGTGCATCTTCCAGTGGGCATGTCCCACACGCGTACCGTATGATCGGTTGAGCCACTCACGAGAGTATCCTCCGCGACCGCCAAGCTCCAGATCCCGCCTGCGTGCCCTTTCAGAGTGCGCACCAATTTGCCGCTGGCGGCTGCATACATGTTGATGGTGCCGTCCTCAGAGGCAGAGATTATACTGCCTTGATGAATGATGAGCGACGTCACAAGCGAGCTGCCATGAACCGGTAGGCGGGTATGTTTTGCTTCTCCGCTTATCCATCGTTGTCGGATGGTGGCCTCCGAGTCCGACACTGAATTAGCCTGGGGCGGGGCAGAAATGGTGGAAGACATGATGAGGAGTGAGAAAGCTCGCGGCGGAGAAATATAGAAAATGAACAATAGCCATCACAACAGATTGGAACAAAGGAGCATATTTTATCGATAATGTTGGTGCAAGCCCACATTCGCGGCCCGCATGCGCGCAGAGTCACGGTGATCTGAGATCGGGGTAGAAAATCCATATATGGCAATTGTTGTATTCGTTTGTCTGTCTAAACCAGAGCTAGAGCCGACACACGACTGCAGGTGGATCTCATCCGCAATCGATCCAGGGTATCGTACAGTTCATATCTTTCGTATATTGCACATACAAGTCTTTCAGAATGGCTCAGCAGAGACGACACTGTGATGCACACATATCCATGCTGCCCCCTGGTAAATATGATGGTAACGTCTACAGGCACGCCGTCCTATGGTGCTGCCAAATTCACAGATTATACATATAAGTAGCTGCTATAATGCACAATGCACAACATGTACGAACGAGATCCGACTGGAGAATAATATTGCACACAAGAAATACTATATTACCGCGTCCCCACACGCCGAAGAAAGGAGTTATCATCGCCGCCTGTGGCTCATATTGACATGGCGTATGCGAGGTCGCGTCGGCGTTTCGTCGTTTCCTGGTGGCAGACGGACAATTGACGAAGGGCCTGCCGACGCTGGACCCCGCGACACGAGCCTTGCGCCCAGCGATCGACTGCGATTTCGATCGTTCTGGTATGGGGATGAAACGGACATCACCGATCCCTGCGCCGACGGTACTGTGCCGTCTTCGTCTGACTCCCGCCAGTCCGCCAGCCGGTCATCATCTCCCTCGATGTGTTCGAACTCCTGGTCATCGACAGTGTCTTCCATATCCGAGGGCATCGCACCGTCGAGGTCTTGATCCATCGCGTCTACCTCCGCCTGCTCGTCTTCGTCTTCCTCGTCACTGTCTTCGTCGTACACTCCTCCCGGCGGCTCGCCGACCCATTCATCGTCCCCTTCTTCAGTCCCAAAGTCCCACACATCGAGTACTGTCGAGTCCATCCGGTTACTCGCTGCAACACACCATCGACCTTCGAACACAACTTGCCACACCCCAACAATCCCAGTCAGCAAATCACGAACTTGAGTGCCGTCGCGAATGTCCCACATCTTCAGTGTGCCGTCGCTCCCGCTCAGAACCTTGAACTCATCATGCTGGAAACACGTGATGGCCCCATTGTGGGCCGCCAGAGTGTGATGATGCTCGCCGGTATCTGGGTCCCAAACCCGAAGCGTCGAATCTGCTGCGGCTGATACCAGATACGAGGGCGACAAACCAAGAAGACCGACGAGGGAAGTATGCCCAGCCAACATATGCTGACAATGACCGTTATGGAGGTTCCAAACACGAACAGTGCCATCCATGGATCCTGAGCATGCGAGGTTACGGTTGATGTCAAGAACAACGCTATATACTACAAGCTGATGTCAGGACTATCATCCTGGTATATGCGACTCAAAACCCACCTTTCTGTGTGTGACCTTGAAGAGTCCACTTGCAGTTACCGGTGATGATGTCCCATATACGCACGGTGCAGTCGTAGCTGCCAGACACTAATGTCCGACCGCGCGCTGCGAGAGCGCGGACAGCATGTTCATGACCCTCCAGATGTAGCTTGTGGTAAGGATTGTCTTCGACATCCTCCTGGGGGACAACTATTAGCCTCGTCAGCGAACCCACAAACAGATCTTTTCACCTCAGATGGGTCGACCTCGGTGTCGTCCGCGCCGTAACACCTATATTCATCATCACCTGGCTTTGGCAGCGTCCATACCCTCAGCGTATGGTCCCTGCTACCGGTAACAATCAGAGGACGTTTGGGCCACTTCTCCCGCGAGATTGTTCCATCGTCGTTCTCGACATCCACCCACTCCGGCTTCACAATCGCTAGACATCGCACAGTGCTCGTGTGCCCGCCAAATACATGCGTACAGCGGCCTGTGGACAGATCCCATATGCGCACAGTACGGTCCGTCGACCCGCTGACTAGCGTGTTTTTCGTCGCTGCCAGCGCCCAGACACCACCCTCGTGGCCGTCAAGCGAGCGCAACAGCTCGCCAGTGACAGGTGAGTAGACATGTATCGAGTGGTCGTCTGATGCAGAGATGATACGCCCGTGCGAGAAAATGAGGCAAGTCACGACAGACCGCCCATGCGCCGGGAACGTGAGGCGCTTCGGGTTCTGGTTCTGCACCCAGCGCGTACGAGTGAGATGTCGTGACTTGAACAGGATCTTATATGGATGTGGAGGAGGTAAAGCACCCTCGCACAAACCTTCGCGCCGTTGCCTCGCAAACATTGCATCTTTGAAGGCGATTTCCGAGCCGTGTCCGAACCATATCTTAGTAGCCTTCAAGAGATCCCGCCAGAGGACCGCATCAGAGTCAATGATGGCCCTCCATGCCTTCGACACCCGTGACGCACGTGCCAGGTCGGAAAAGGAGAGGAAACTGAGGACATGGGAGACAAGCTCCGGAGGGAGGAGGGTCAGGAAGTCGCGCGCCAATGTGGGTGTGAGAATGGAGTGCAATGTCCGTAGGACTGAGAGAGGAGAGTGTCGCAAGAACGTCAGCAGGACATGCGATTGCAGCTGGGGAGGAAGATTGGAGTAGTGAGCAAGAAGGGCAGGAAGCGACATGAGTGCAGTCATAGAGACGTCTGGTTGGATGGGAGCTTGGGGGGGCTGAGGAGATGAATGACCGCTTGGTGGGGCAGAAGGCCAGATGCTTTCCGGCGATGGTGAGCCATGGGGAGATGGAAGGGGGGACGGTGGTGCAGCAGTATTGATTGGGGGCATTATGGGAGCTGGCTTTGCCCTCTTGCGTGGTGGGGTGTTGGTAACGAGTCCTGGGATAGCCTCGATGCCCTCCATCATGTTCTCGTTGCTGTAGGACCTCTTGCGGCCATATCGCTCGATCGCTTCAGCGAGGCCTACGTCTTTCTGGGCCTGTCCCTCTTCATCTCGTTTGAGCATTGTCCAGCCTGCGCCACAGACGACTTCCTCTTCCTCATGCATCTCTTCTTCGCCTACCTCGCCATCGCGAAATGTGGCCCTGGATCCACCAGGGAAAACAAGAGGGAACTGGCGTAAGGATCGGGGGAGGTGTGCGCGCAGAAGGGGGTATGCCTTTGGATCTTTGGGGGACGACGGGGCGGGGAGTGGCGGGAGCGGGATGGGCGCGTATGTAGTGGTTGTCGTGGTCGTCGTCACAATGCTATTTACAATAAAGACTAAGGGTCTGAGGGAAAAAGAAAGAGAATACGACGTACGTGGTGGTGTTTACGGAGGGGGCGAGCTGGATGTAGGGGCGATGGTGAGACGACATGGTGATGAGGGCAAAGAAGGCGCGCCTGCGCTATGGGATGGGAGGGAACGGTGGACGACGTTGGAATCGCGTCAAGCGAGGCGCGACGCGCGCTCCGGGAGGCCGAGGCGGACTCTCAACTCTCCGGCCACGCCACGGAAGCTTTCCTTTTATGTCGTTCTGCATTGTCCTGTGGCTGCATCGAGATCTCATCGAGTAGACACCTTCAAGCAATGAGCCACGCAATATTATGATTTATCTGGTAGCGGCGTCGGGGCTCCGTTTCATGTTATCGTCGTGCACGTAGAGAGCCTTTGAAACTTTATTCGCATAATAAATGTGAATGGTGAATGGCTGGGCGGACTCAAAGGCATGATCCCAGACACCACCGCAGTGGATCCCTCGACTGCGCACTGAAGCCTGCAGATCAATAAACATCGTAGTGGTAATTCGCAAACTCAGTGTAGCATTTGCAATAGCAACACTCCAGTAGTATTTTGTGACATGCACGTCGAGATCTTCATTGCAACGAGGTCCATTAAAGGAGGCGCATGCATTTTCCAGAGTGCGCGTGTGTCTTCCCCGCTACCTTTTGTGAAGTCAAACTGGAAATGGGGAGCTGTCCAAAGTCCGATAAAGTAGCGCACTCGGAGGCGCGTCGGCGTCTAAGTTTACAAGCTCAAGTTTAGTCCGATCCCAAGGACGATCAAGCTCGGCTACTCTCGAGCCATTTCACACCTCCTAGGCACAGTAGCCCATAGTATCCTTCGCACAACCCTCCTAGTCTCCAACCGCTCGACATCCCTCTCAGCCTCGTCGATATCTACCCCTCCACTCTCCTCCTTGGTGCCTGGATGAGTTAAGCTGCTCTCACTCCAGGCTATTTCTCACTCCCTGGCAACTCCCTGGCGAATTTGTCCACTCACAAATACCTCCAACGGAGCACTTGACTCATATCACCTTTTATCGATTGCTAACGTAACAGATTCACGCGTGTGTTTCGTCGCCCCTTTCTTCCTGCTTCTCTGAAGCCATGTTATTGATTCTTGCGTCCAGACTTTCCCTCCCACGGATCCCTGCGACACCGGCGTCGCTCGAAGAGGTTTTCTGCTTTAACAATTAGGTCCTGCCCCTCATACGGAATCTGCCTAAACATCTCTTCAGCATGTCAGCATCCTCCTCCAATTTTTCGGGATTCTACGCAAACCCGGCTCAACAACCGGCATCCTACTCTGCCTCAATTACCCCTTCCCAATCTCGCGATCAGACGGCTCGACCAGGACAGGCCTCATCTTCGTCTGCTGTTCACAACGACAGCTCTCTCTCAATTTTTCCTTCTCAATACTATTCGTATCACCAGTCGCAGCGACAACTCTCCGCGTCTCATCTCGCAGTTCCTCCGAATCTCTCGTCGCCGTCCTCGCAAGGTTCTGAGACTCTGGTGACCACGCCAACTGATCATCCAGCATCATTTAGCGGCCCCAATGCTAATGGCAAGCGTCCTGCGTCCCCTCACGTTCAGGCGGGCGACAAGCGTAAGAAGTCACGTAAGGACAAGGTCGATGATGGAGAGGACAGTCATAGCCCAGAAGCTGAGAAGGGCGAGGAGCCTGTAAAAGCAAAGTCTACGCGTGGCTCAAGGTACGTTCGTGCACGCTCGTTGCACATATAGTCTATTGAACCTGCTCGATAGAGCATGTACGGTCTGTCGCCGCTTGAAGATGAAATGCGTGGGTGCGGAGAATGGCCCTCCGTGCAAGCGTTGCCAAGCCGGCGGGCATGAATGTATATTTGAGGAGTCGAATAGAGGAAAACGATCCACAAAGTACGTAGTGTGTGCCCATGCCCTTGTTTGCACGCCCGCTAATAGCTTTAACAAGAAAACACGAGGTTCTTCAGCGGTCGTTGCGTAAAATGGAGCGTACATTAGACACAATCTTCAGGTCTCTAGGAGCTCCTCCATCTGATGGGCCGTCTCGCTCTCCTTCACCTGACGGCCAGCCACCACCGTCGGGTGAGACCCATCCTCTTCTCGCATCCCCACCACAATCACCTGCGGATGCACTTCGGCGTCATTCAGAACATCCTCCCCAATCCCCCAAGCTTCCATCATTACCAGATGACTCGCTGAATCCCCTTGGACTGTTGGCGGAAGCAAGTCTAGCAAATCGTAGGGCTCAGGCTGGCTCCAAGTCAGACTTGGCTTCGACTGCCATGTTGAGTCGAAGTTCAGAGCCGTCGAGGATGGGCGTGGCTAGTGACCTATACTTCAAGCCTGGTGGGTGTTTCTGTATGGCCTACAGCGATTGAAATATTGATAATGTTTCCTCTTCTAGGGCCTATGAGCATATTGCCACTTAGGCGTCTGTATATCGAACGTCAGATTCAACCTGAAATGCTTGGCTTTGTTAGCACGGATGAAGTCATAGCCTTGTTTAAAATGTGCGATCCTTTCGTTTTCCGTGTACTTAATTGATTGATTTTGGCATGTATAGATATTTTGATCATATGAACGTGAGTATTTTGATCAGGCTGTCAAGAAAAGCGATCTCATGCGCGCTACCAGGTGCATTGTGCACTCCTAGATCCCGATTTTCACACCCCAGCTTTAGTCTGCTCGCGGTCGCCATTCCTGCTCACGACGAGTGAGCTTTTCTCTCTACTGTTTATGGTAAAGGCTTATCTTGCGCTACCCTAGTCTGTGCGATTGCCTCGCGGTTCTACAATGCCCGTGATGAGCTCTATCCCAGACTTGCTGAGTTAGCAAAGAAGTTGGCTTTCAATGTCCCGGCAAGGGGATACAAGTCTGTTGAGATCGTTCAGGCGTATTTGCTAAACACGCTCTGGGGCTGTGGTCCTGTAGAGCGCTACGAGCAGGATAGGACGTGGATGCTTCTTGGGATGGGAATTAGGTATGAACTTCGGCAATTCTCACCGCCATTTATTTTTGACACGTCAATGCGACACAGGATGGCGCTTGATTTGAACATCCACAGGCACACCGAAGTATTGAACGACGGCACAGAAGAAGGGAACGCTCGTGATCGTGAAGTCCACACCCGAGAAAGGACTTGGATCTTATGCTTCATCCTCGATCGAAGCTTTAGTGCACAAATGGGAAAGCCATACACCATCAAAGAAGAGTGGGTTGTACTTTTGTGCTCATCTCTGACATGGGTTCCCACACTCTTCTCTTCTCTGCCTTTTTAGTTTTATCATCCGCAATGCATCGCGGTGGTCTCAATCGCCGATCGCCATGCCGTCGGACACGCATACTGCAGGATGTGCGGTGCGCATGCGTGCACGTTTTCATTGAAACTGGATCTCATGTCACCCTCAGGATCTGCAACGCATTCTCACCCGAAGCCTCGACCTACTCTACTCAAATAACAGCACGTCGTCGGGCCTCCAAGAAGACTGTGACTATCTTCTAGTGATCAAAACCATGGAAGCCCAACTACTTTCATGGCAGCATGATTGGGTCAGGAAAATTTCGGAAAGTAAGTCCGGTCTAGATGTGTCCCATTTTCATCTTAGTTTGTTTTACGGTATCTAGCCGAGAAATCTGATTTTGCAAGGAAGTATGCGGAGCTCAGCTGCGAATTCAATTTCCACTATGCAATGCTCACTATCAACTCATTCGGACTACAAAATGCCCTTCAACGTTCTCCAGTAGACATGGGGCATTTCTTCGCGCGCTGCCACTCTTCTGCTGTCAAGTGTGTGACAGTGATTCACGGCGAACTGGGCTCTCTTGGTTACTTGAAGTACGCTCCGGACTCGTTATTTGTCCAGGGATCATACGCAGTCCTGAGTTTGTTGAAGGTTAGGTCAATGGATGTCTGGTGCACATTATACAATGTCTGACCCCCAACGGCATATAGCTCCTGCGGCCAGAATTTAGCTCTTATCTGGACCATGAACAGAAGACAATTGCCCTTGTCAAGGATGTGGCGGATATTTTTGAGAGGGTTGCCGAGTCGCCTCTACATACACCCGCACTCTATAGTGTGTTCCTCCGAGCCGTCATCGCTGCCAAGACGGATCCCTCTACCACTGCAACAGCGCCTGCGTCTTTCGAAGCCGGATCCAGAACAGAGTCTGCGACAGTGCAAGAACTACCAACTGCTCCACCCGCATTTGATCTCTCACAAAGCAAACCACAGATGTCTACTACCATTCCTCCTGTGGATCCACTTGCTGCATTCTTTAATACCGGTGAGATGGGTCCTGTTGCAGACATGTCGACGTTCCCGCCCACCATGGCGCCGAATCCCTCGCTGGATATGAATATGCTCTCGATGGATAGCATACTGAGTGCGGACTTCTGGGACAGCATGCTTGTTCCAGGTTAGTGCCCACTCCGCTCTTGATGCGGATTATTGGCTAAAAGTACCGGATAATAGGGTCGTCTAATTCGCTTGAGAGTCTGAGCAACGGCTATGTGTACGGAGCAGGAGGTAGCGGTCTGATTACCCCCCGTATATGGCATCCATTAACGGGGATGCCGGAGGCGTCCCAGGGTGCGGAAGACGTTGACAATCGGACGCCCCAGTACAAGACTGACAATACGTATGACCTAATGCAATCGCAAGTACACAGGCATTCACTCAATCCGTAAGCGTCCGCAGATCGGGTTTCCTTGCCATTCGTGTTGTTGTTCTCAGCCTGTTCATCACTATTCCCACTCTTAGCTTGTGTCAGATCTGTTGTTTGTTTTGCTTTTTGCCTCTGGAGCTAGGGTGGTATGTGTAGGCTTGATCTGTTAAAGATATATTAAGTAGACGTAGCCGTAGGTGCTTTTACTAATTCTGTTATGAGTGAACCCGTGGGAATCGAAACGATACCTTGACCAGTGAGAGCGTTTCATCAGATCACGATCGGCGTAGATGCTGATATTGTGGAGCTCTTCGGTGTTCCCAATGCCACCAACTCACCTCCAACACAATACTCGCATTTCGAACAATAATTGTACTGATGTTGCTGAGTCCAAAACCTATTTGTAAGGATCAGCCTGGGTACTTATGAGTCATCTTGAGGCTTAGTAGATCCGACGGTCCCGACGAACCCGACGTGTAGCGTTCAATGCCACGCCAATTGCTTGGCGAGCGGTCCAGGCACAACATACGAGGAGGATTTTAAATGACCGCCTTTCTACCAGCTCAGACGTTCTCCTGGACATCGCATTGCGGCCTTAGTCTCTGCCACTGTCGTAGTTTACGACTAACTTCATTCTTTTCTCTATTCATTCCTTAAAATGCGCATCGTCAGCTCAAAGCCATTTCTCGTCGTGGCGCTCTGCGCAAGTTGTCAGTTAATCATTTTACGTTTGTTGCGATGATTATACTAACGCAGAATCAACGTTGCATGTTCTCATAGATGCTGCTGCCGTCAGTCCTCTACGCCCGTGGCACAGGCGACAATTTGCTCCCTTGCCAACCGAGTCCGCTGACGGTGGTGGTGGATATGTTCCGGAAGCCGGGGACGGATACGGGTTCAATGGGCCTGGTGGGTGTATCTCTATTAAGCTGCTCGCCAAAACTGACTCTAATGTAGACAGTACAAGCGTCGTAGGGGCCCCTTACGACGCCGGACCCTACGGTCCTTGTAAGTGCGATCACGTTGCGCTGCGTTTGAAGGATTCTGATTGACGTAATACAGACGGAACCACCACCATTCAGCCTGGTTTCCAAATCGGCGGCTCCGGGAGCTGTAGCTCTAGTAATGGTGTCATGGTCTGCACCAACGTCGCATACATGTCTGGCCCAACGACGGGCTGGACGAGCACCCAAATCGTGACGTCGCCTATCGCAGCGCAGACCGCCGGTTACACCTCGACCGAAGGAGGTGGTATAGGTCCTGGAGATACCGTAGTGATCTACCCGGGCTCGCTGACATCTACGTCGCCTGTTGCAGGGGTGACTGTGAACACGGGATCCCCTTCGGATGCACCCAACCTTACGTCCACCACCAATACGTCCGATAACTCAAGCGGCGCGAGCAGTAAGAGTAGTGGCACAACTTCGACTACGTCCTCGGCCCCTACTACGACGACCACAAATCAAACTAAGACCAGCAGTGGGGCTGAGGTAGACGCGTTCATGTTTTTCTGGATAAAAATTTCCGGCTTTGTTGTTACTCTTCTCATGATCTTGTGAGAATGCTCAGACAAGTAGTCGTAGTATTCACAGCAGTGATTTCCAACACTACCGCGACAACTGTCCAGGGACATTTATTGTGTATGTTCAAGCCTTTGTAGTAGTTGGTGATCACATGTACTACAGTGCCAATGGCATGGCATTGGCCGACCACTAAACTTATTTCGGGGGTGTAGGATTTGCAAGTTGCTCTAGGCATCCTCAGACTCTGACATCGGAACCCAAATTCCTGCGTTTGGCATCGATCTCCGCCAAGAATTCTTTTGGCAGTGATTTGGGTTTACGCCGCGCCCCCATCAACGTCCGTTTTGTGGGCAAGTCGAGTGACACTGTATGTGAGGAATTGACGTGTCTGCTGTTCAACAAAGTCAAAATTGACTCCGAAAGGCTTGTAATGGACCTCACAGTTTCCATAGCGGTCCTGTACCAAGGAGACATGTTGACTTGGCGCCAAGGTTGTCTCGACTTTCGAGTCATTGTCGCAGGCGTCCCATGCCACCAGTTGCATGAGATTTCTGTCTTTAGCAGTGAGTGCTTGATCCACGTTCAAGACGCTGTCTACTAGTTCTTGCTGTCTCCCTTGTTTGAGAGTCATTCGGTACCGGTTCTTTCAACATCTTCAACAGTGTATATGCAATTCCATCTATCTTCAACTCCGAGTGTCCGCCGCCTCGGAGCATATATGTACTAGTTCCGGTTCCGAAAATTAGTTAACATCTTGCTGATGCGCTAGATCGGTCTCTGATGGCCCAGACACATACAAGTCGAGATGTATAAGACATCTTCATCAGCTTTATGACCCCATTCAACTTTGCCTGAATCTTGCTGTGCCAACCCTCCCACTCGTTAAAGCCACTCGTTCAAAATGCATTCAATCCGTTCAAAAGCAATTTTCGCTACTTTTTTCTTGGTAGAATGTAAGTTTGTTGTTCGTTTCTCTCTCTCTAGTTTTCTAATACGCCGTGATGCATATTAGATGCTGCTGCCATCACTTCCTTGTACATTCCGGGCTTCGATCCCCAGCCAGTGACCGCCAACGTGCTGGGTGTTGGAGCCGATGGTGCTACGACGTACCTCATTGCTCCGGGAGTGAGCAGCGGAACGTTCGACGACAGCGGCTTCGATGGACCTGGTCTGTATTGATGTGCACTCTTGTACTAGTCCCTTAATTGATTTGTTAATGCCGCTACAGCTACCCTTGTTGTCGGTGCATCTAGTGTTGGATTGACGTATATCGACCCTAACGTGGGCAATCTCTTTGAGAACTGCGGCATCGCCGATGGACTCGCTGTCTGCACCGACGTCATCGAGCAGGTGGGACCAATGTCCTTCACTTCTACCGTCGTTGTCACCGAGACAGTATCATCCTTTCCGGTTCAAGGCGGCGCTCCTACTGCGGTGACTACCACATCAACTGGTGTGTCCACCGGGGCCACTGCGGACGCAACGACCACTTCTTCAGGAGGCTCCAACGCTTCGAGCGGCCCTTCGTCTTCCGCTTCTACTACGACCACCGCATCCCAGAACAAGAACAGCGGTGGAGTGAAAACAACATTTATTCCTTTTTTCTTGATATTATCGGGTTCTGTGGTTGCTCTTCTCATGATCTTGTAAAGATGCGTGTGTAGGCAGTAGCGCCGTTCTCGTCGGACGGCTATTTCGCGTGGATTTCATGTTGTATGTGCAAGGGCCCCTTTGTTACATCAATGTGTTCTATGGCAGCGGAAATGCAATCACTGGGTTCTAATATGCTGTAGATTCGGTAGTCAACAAGATACCACCGGCGACTACTCGGACGGCTTATTCACTGCACCTAGTGGGCTGACTGGTGGCTTGGCTCTAGAATAATTTCCGATGCCGTGCAGTACGAAGGGCACACAAATCTCTAGCAGAGAATATGCAGAACGGCTGCCCAGGAAATGTTTTCACGATGCCAGATTATATCTACCCATTAGGATTCACCTAACCGCGAGTATTCGTTGGTCCGATAAGTTGGACTCAAATGCTTTCCCGTAGATCTATCCAGGAAATTTTGGAGAATGGCGAATGTAGCTGTAATTGTGCGCAAAGATAGAAACGCTGTGCGACTGAACGAAATGCGAGGTGCCCTAGCGAACCTGTGACAAATGTGTTCACGGAATCTAAAGAAAAATCACTCACCAGAACTCTCGATATGTGGGTGTGTAGGATAACTCATAAGTTGCTCGATGGACATGGATTTATCTCAAATTTTGACTTCAGAGAGTCTGCATGCTAGTGATTTCGTCAACTTATACACGCCAATCGCCAATGTCAAGGAAAATCGTCCATCATCAGAGCCGCGGTATCGGCTAGTCTGTTCACCTTTTTCGTTGTTTGGAAGCCCTGACAAATCCTCAAAAACGCCATCAATGGCTAATGGATGGGCAATGAACGTTAGAGCTCCTGTTTACTTACCTGCATTGCGGCCTGCAGAGTCGGAGAAGTGAGTCTCAACCCCATGGTAGCGACGTTTGAGTGGGCGGAAATCCTCGCTCAGGCAGCAACGGACAGGGAGGACGGGGACTACTATTCGGTGGCTAACGCCTTTTTGTACGCTTACACGATATTGCGGAAGTCTGCATTTACGGTGTTTTGCGAGAGGATAAATATGGACTCTTCTGATGTTCACCCTGACTCTAAGGATTATAAGTTCTTTGAGCAGGATTATCAAGCCAATTGTAAGGCAACTCGATTGATTGAGGCATGGAAGTACCAGGCCCCGACTTATCCCCCCCTGCGTTTTTCAGGGACATGCAGAATGTCGACCATCTCCTTAGAGAGCGTGGCGACCTTGCGAGCGGGAATTCGTCCCGCTCCGGATCACCTCCTAGTTCGATCATGGACGAGGGGGACGTATCGGGATGACTACCATCCGGCAGATAGGTTTTATTTACACTCTTACACTCTGCATGTACCCTACGGTATGGAGTATAAACCTGGAATTAAAATAAAATAAAAAAAGAGTCGGAGAAGTGTGACGGAGGATTAGCGTGACATATGTGACTACACGCGTTTCCGAGGAACGCGACATGTGCACACGATCGTAGCCACTTTGGTTAACGTTGCAGTGAGTGAACGCATTATCCCCTCATACCCCCTCACTCTTCTTTACTTCGCGCCTTTTCATCTACCTCTCTGTCATATTGGAATTATCTCTATTTCTTCTAAGAAAGTCTAGCTAACCAATCAGTGGATGTCGGTCTCTCATACTGGAGCATTTCAATAGTGTGGCTGCTGGGTCCGGACCCAAGATCGGCTCTGTCTCACTGAATATTTCGCAAGCACCATGGCAGACGATAACCTCGACTCCAATGGACGAGGGAGACCTCTTCCAAAACGTGCAGCAGCTAAGAAATCCTCACAACTGTCAGCGGAGCAACTAGACGGGTCCTCCGATGAGGAGGACAGAGAGCTGGCGTTTGGAGAGCCGTCCAAGCACAGGAGCCCTGTCAAATTCACATATAGGAAAGGAAGACATCGTGACTCGCCGAAGAAATCACAGGACATTCCACTGGTATCCTCTAACCGTCCCCGCCGTAAATCGGCAGGCGCTCCTCGTCCGC